AGGAACAATTTAAGGGAGAAAGTTGGAGGGGACTGGAGGGTGGTTGTGTATTCTGACTATGGGTGAGAGAGAAAGGTGAGTGCAGCCGCAAAAGTAGCATAGAGAGCAGAAAAGAAATCAGAATCAACTCTTTCTATACTTTAAATTACTCTCCCAGATGTATAAATCACCTTCTCAAGTTTTCAACCATCAGAGCCTAACTCATTTTTCCTGAACTGTCATAGACTTGACTATACAACTTAGATCTCCATAACTTGTATCGTTTGATTCTTCTTGACATATATAACTTACTTGCCTTTGTCTCATAACCTTTAGAAACTCACATCTTAGTGTGAAAACTGTCAGTAAGGTACACTGTACATATGAAGTCGACTGGGCAAGGAGATGAATGTTTGCTACTGTTCGAGCTACAATTGGCCATCAAGGACAGCAGAGATCCAAGGAAGATAAACTTGAGTAGAAGTAAAATTTAAATAGTTTTTGTACCACTTAAAATGACAGAGATTAACTTAGACTGTTGAAGCATATCAAATCTCAACTATCCTGAGAGGCTGCATCTCCAGGGGAAAGTGATCAAAGAACATGCAACCAAGTTCATGACAGAGGCAGCCCCAGTTCTTATTTGAGAACCACATTGACACTGAGCAGGGGATGGACAAAGCCAACAGAACAAAACTACAGTCTACAGACAGGAAAAAGTTCTTCACCAACTCAAAATCAGACTGAAGGCTAATATCCAGAATATATAAAGAACTCAAGAAATTAGACACCGATTATTAATAATCCAGTTACTAGTGAGGTACAGAGGTAAACAGAGAATTCTCAGCAGAGGAATATGGAATGTTGGAAAGAAATTCTCTAATATCCTCAGACATCAGGGAAATGCAAATCTAAACAACCCAGTGATTCCAACTCACACCCATCAGAATGGCTAAGATCAAATACTCAAATCACAACACATAATGAATAGAATGTGGAGAAAGGAAAATCCTCCTCCATTGCTGGTGAGATTCAAAGTTGTACAGCCATTTTGGAAATCAATCTGGCTCCTTCTCAGAGTATGAAGAATAGTGCTACTTCAAGATCCAGCTATACCACTCCTTAGCATAAGCCCAAAAGATGCTCTACCATTCAACAAGGACATTTGCTCAACTATGTTCATTGCAGGTTTATTTGTAGTAGCCTGAATCTGGCAACAACCTATATGTCCCTCACCCTGGGAATGGATACAGAAATTGTGGCACATATACACAGTGGAATGCAACAGTTAAAAACAAGGAAAATATGAAATTTACAGGCAGAAAGATGTGTGAGATAACCCAGAGGCACAAAGAATTTTAATAGTTTAATTCTGAGGGATGAAAGGGCTCCTGCATCCCATATACTTACAGCAGTGCTGTGACATGATAGCTCAGAATAAGTGAACATGATGATTCCATAATGCCAGCCAGGAAATCATTGTGATGCACTTAAAATACTCTAGGAAATTCTGTGCTATCTTAACTGCCATAGGGTGACACAAGTGCCAGTGTCTTTCAGCAGTAAGTCAAGCTGTTCTGAGCTGATTTACATGTAATCAAGACATTAGTCACAGTGTACATTGTTCAAAGCATCTTTACAGGCAGCTTTTCAATGCCCAAAGAAGCAGCCTCCAGTCCAGCTCTCAGAGATGGTACAGCTGCTCTCCTGCTGTGGGGACTGCTGCTGTGGGTGTCAGGTGAGAGGCTACAGTTTTGGGAACAGCCCCTTTGGCCATTGCTGTTTCCTGTGCCTTGCTGTCCCAATTATCAAAATTATGTTATTTAGGCAGTGCAGGCACATGTACCAATATGATAAACAATTATGTAATGGAAACTTCAGAAAGATAGCATCACCTGCAACGTGGAGAGAGGAAGAATTGGGTACATGATGGCAGTGAGGACCAGGTAGATGTGAGCGGCCTGCACTGCCCCCTGGGGCTATGTTGATGTTTGGACCCATGGTACCACTAAGGGCCAAGCTGAGAATTTTTCTTTCAAGGTCTGTGAAGAATTGTGTTGGTAATTTGATGGGAAGTGCATTGGATGGAATTGCATTGAATCTGTAGATTGCTTTTTTTAAGATGGCCATTTTTACTATGTTAATCTTTCTGAGCTGTGAGCATGGGAGATCTTTCCATTTTCTGATATCTTGTTCTACTTGTTTCTTCAGATACTTGAAGATTCTTTCATACAAGTCCATGTGGAGCTCTGAGTGAGGGGTGAAGAGGCTGCCTCTATTGTGATCTCAGTTGACTGCTCTTTGATCATTGCCCCTGTTGATGCAGCCTTGCCAGGCCATGGAGGAAGAGGATCCAAGCATTCCTGATGAGACTTAACAAGCTATGAGCAGAAGGCAATGAGAGAAAACTCCCCCTTTAAGTGCACTAGGGGAAGGGGATCAGGGAAAGAGGGAGGAAAAATGGGAGTTTAGGGAGAGGGCTTCAATATGGATATGTAATGAATCAACTGTGAATTAAAACAATAAAAATTTTATCAAGGTTAAAATATTATTGCTTGTTTTTTAAAAAGGCTGTGTACCCCTTCTGGATAGATGTTTTTTGTTTGTTTGTTTGTTTTGTAATCTACTTTTAGACCCAGCATGAGCCTAATTTCTAGAAGGGATGAAGAGAACCCAGGAGACCAATATTTGATATATTTGATGCAAAATCGCAAGAGGTTTATTTTGAACATTTCACAATGGGGTCACCGCTGCTGGTCAGCAAGGAGTGGCACTGGGAGACAAAGGCCTTGGGTTTTTAAAGGACAAGGTGTGGGAATTTTCAGAGGCTGCAGTCTTGGCAATTCGGGATTGGATGAGGTATTTAACTTTTAAAATAATTGGTTGGTTCTGGGTACCCTTAGGTCCAGTCAATACTGTTGTAAATATCTGGGGAATATCTGATCTTCAAGTCAGTTTGGAATTTCCTGCCATATGAGATATAGCCACAGTTGAATGTGGGAGAGGGATTAACTCATCCTGTGTCTGTTCTGAGGAGTGGGGGCTACAGGCTTTGGGTCAAAGGTCAAGAGCTATTCAGGAGGAGAATTGGGGCCATTTGGCCCAGTTTCCAAAGTTTATCTAGTTTATCTTACAGGCACCTGCCAGTGATTTTTCTCTCCACCTAGTAGAGATCTCTGCTTGTTCTCTTCCTTATTTCTGCCCTCACAGATGGCTAATGTCAGGAACTTTTACATTCCTCTGTTGTCTGTAGAAGCACTAAGAGGCTTTAATTAACTGGGCCTAAAACTTGAAAATATAAGTTATAAGGCAATTAAAAGAAACATATGTTTCAAAGGTAGTCTGATTCTTTGATACTTACTATGCAGGCAAGATCATCACAACCCAGTTTAAATACTGCTAATTTCTAAATTACCCTAGAAGATGAATTTCTGGAATTAAACACTCTAGCCAGGGTTGGTCTACAGGGATGATTTCATGAGGAAGTCTGGTTTGATTCATTCCCCTTCCATTCTCTCAGTTTAGAGCTCTCTTTCAGTTCTACAAAGTTGTGGAGGAAATACTTGTTAGTTTCTGCTGTGATTACCTTTTCTGTGAGATTAAAGCATCTCTGGTCACAGGATTAAATTAAAGTCTCTTAGAAGTTCCACAGAACGAATTCTTCGTTTCTCTCCCTCTCTTTATTTATTTATTTTTTTGCCTTTTCTTTATCTTATCATTTATTAAAATTCATTCTTTTTGTATCCTAGATGTGGCCTTCTCCCTCTTCCCCTCCCAGTACTACCCTCCCTCCCTCTTTCCCCCATACCCCTCTCCTAATCTACTGATAGGGGTGGTCCTCCTTCCTTTCTATCTGACCCTAGTCTACCAACTCCCTCAGGACTGGTTGCATTGTCTTCCTCTATGGACTGGCAAGGTTGCATGCCTTAGGGGGAGGTAATCAGAGAGCCTGCCACTGAGTTCACACAGAGAAAATCCCTGCTCCCCTTACTAGGAACCACACTTGGAGACTGAGTCTATGAACAACATCTGAGCCAGCCTTTTAGCTCACTTGCATGCATTTGTCTTGGTTGGGGTAACATTTTCTTTAGGGCCCCCAGGGGTCACTTTTTATGGATCTATTGCTCTCCTTGTGAAGCTCCTGTCCCCTCTGGGTCTTTCTATCTCCCCCTTCTTTTATAAGAATCCCTATCCTCTTCCCAAAGTTTGCTATGAGTTTCAGCCTCTGAACTGATACCTTGATCAGTACAGTTTTTCAGAATCCCTCTGTAATAGGATCCTGTCCTGTTCCTGTCTTCTCCTGCTTCTGAAGCCTATGGCATTTTCTTTCTGAATGAGGATTGAGAATCTTCCCTAGGGTCTTCCTTGTCAGGGAAGTAATAAAAAAAGAAATTAGAGACTTCCTAAACATCAGCGAAATTGAAGGCACAACTTGGCTTCTCTTTTTATCTGAGCCCCATGTGTAGTCTGGAAACAGAAGCCCACATGTCTGAGCCACTGTTCCTTGTGCTCAGTAGGAGTGGCTTTGCAGGTGGAAGACAATGAACAAATTTAGCCCCAAATTCCTGTTTTTTGCATTTTCTCTTTCCTCACCTCTGCCCTTAGTTTCTTTTATTGTATGTTTTCCTATTCTATGCTTCTTCTGCTGCTGTTGTGATTTCTTGAACACATCATATTCCTAAGACTGTCAATCTGAGATAACTCCCCTAAAGTTTCTGAAAAGGCCAACTGCTGTCTTGTACTTTAACCCCAAACTGCTTTTTGAGCACTTAGTACATTTCTGCTTGAGAGCTGCTAACTGCTCACATTCTGTGATGCTCATGTTCTCTGATAATATTTTTAGCTATTGCTTGTCTCCACCCTCTCTCAAAGATATACACGTACAACTGCCCAGGCGTGTGCTTTTGTATTTGCTGACTGCTTTGCATGGGCTTCTCCAGTACAGCCCAGCTGCTCAGAATTTATAAACCAGGCCTTTTCCCTGTGAACTGAGCAACATCAGAACAGGCTGGGGGAGCAAGATGGAGTCACAGACCCACGTCCTCATGTTGTTGCTGTTCTGGGTGTCTGGTGAGATATTTAAAAGTATTATTATCATTTCAAAGTCACATCTTTGTATAAAACAAATTTACAGTGTGTACCAGGGTGCAGATTTCTTATAATTATTTTATATAATTTTTATATAATTTTATAATTATTTTAAAATAATTATAATTTTATAATTATTTTATAATATGCTGACAATATGATAAGAACATTTACATAACAAATTTCTTAAATTTCTCTTTTTTTCTTTCCCTCTCTCTTTCCTTTTTTTGATTTTTCATACATGGTTGCTCTGTTTAATTGACCCCTGGCTGTCCTGGACTCACTTTCTTGACCAAGCTGACCTCTAACTCAGACAACTGCCTGCCTCTGCATCCTGAGTGCTGGGATTAAATAACAAATTTCAATAGTCATATCATAATTTGTGTTTGTGTATGTATTAATTTTCAATATCTACTCATTATTGTAAATACCAGTGGCGACTTCGTAATGACCCAGTTTCCATCTTCCCCGTTTGTGTCAGCAGGAGAGAAGGTCACCATCAGTTGCAAGTCCAGTCTGAGTCTTTTAAGCATCAGAAACCAAAAGAACTACTTGGCCTGGTACCAGCAGAAACCAGGGCAATCCCCTAAGCTGCTAATCTACTGGTCATTCACTGTTCAAGCAGGGGTCCGAGATCACTTCACAAGCAGTGGACCTGGGACAAATTTCACTCTCAGCATCAACAGTGTGCAGGCTGAAGACCTGGCAGTTTATTACTGACTCATCTGGACTGGCTGCATTCTCTTCCTCTGTGGTCCAGAAAGGCTATGGCCCCCTCAAGGGGAGGTGATCAAAGAGCAGGCCACTGAGTTCATGTCAGAGACAGTCCATGTTCCCCTTAATAGGGATTGCACTTAGATACTGGGCTTCTATGGGCTACATCTCTAAAGAGGTTCCAGGTTATCCCCATGCATGTTTCTTAGTTCGAGTATCAGTCTCAGAAACATTCCCTTCGCCAGATTTATTTTTCTCTACTTGTGGCGCTCCTGTCCCCTTCAGATCTTTCTATCTTTCCCTTCTTTCATAAGATTTCCTGCACTCTGCCCAAAGTTTAGCTATGAGTCTCAGCCTCTGTTTTAATACTCTGCAGGGTAGAGTCTTTCAGAGGCTCTCCTTGGTAAGTCCTGTCCTAATCCATGTTTTCTCACTTTTCTGATATCCATCTGGTTTGCCTTTCTGAATGAGGATTGATCATCTGACCCAGGGTCCTCCTTTTTGATTAGCTTCTTGAGCTATACAGATTTTAGTATGATTATCCTATATCATATGTCTAATATCCACTTAGAAGTGAAAACTGAGTATATACCATGTGTGTCTTTCTACTTCTGGGATACCTCTCTCAGGATGATCTTTTGTAGTTCCCACCATTTGCATGCAAATTTTAGGATCTCTATTTTTCATTGCTAAGTAGTATTCCATTCTGTAAATGTGGTACAATTTCTGTATCCATTCCTCAACTGAGGAACATCAGGGTTGTATCCAGGCTCTGGCTATTACAAATAAAGCTGCTATGAAAGTGATTGAGCAAATGTCTTTGTTGTATACTTGCGCATCTTTTCGATATATGTCTACATATCAGTGGTATAGCTGGATCTTGAAGGGGCACTATTCCTAATTGTCTAAAAACGTGCCAGATTGATTTTCAATGTGGTTGTACAAGTTTGCATTCCCCACCAGCAATGGAGGAAGGTTTCCTTTTCTCCCCATCCTCTCCAGCATGTGTCGTCACTTGAGTTTTTGATCTTAGCTATTCTGATTGGTGTAAGGTGAAATCTCAAGGCATTTTAATTTCCATGTCCACGATAGCTAAGGATGTTGATCATATCTTTCAGTGTTTCTCCGCCACTTGATAATCCTGTATTGAAAATCTCTGTTTAGCTCTGTATCCCAATTTTTAATGGGATTACTTGATTTGTTGCTGTTTAACTTTTTGAGTTCTTCTCTCCTCTTGGTCCTTCTTTTTTTTTTTTTTTTTTTTTTTTTTGCTCTATGATGCTCTTTATTCATTGTCCTGATCATGCCAAACAAGTTTTTTTTTATCCCCCCATAAGCCACTCCCTCCTCCCCTGCCGATCCCACCCTCCCTCCCCTTTCTGCATGCATGCCACTCCCCAAGTCCACTGATAGGGGAGGTTCTCCTCTTCTTTCTGATCTTAGTCTATCAGTTCTCATCAAAAGTGGCTGCATTGTCCTCTACTGTGGCCTGGTAAGGCTGCTCCCCGCTCAGGGGGAAGTGATCAACGAGCAGGCCAATCAGATTATGTCAGAGGCAGTCCCTCTTCCCATTACTATGTAACCCACTTGGACACTGAACTGCCATGGGCTACACCTGTGCAGGGGTTCCAGGTCATCTCCACGAATAGTCCTTGGTTGGAGTATGAGTCTCTGGGAAGTTCCCTGTGTTCAAATTATCTTGTTCTGTTGCTCTGCTTGTGGAGTTCCCGTTCCCTCCAACTCTTACTATTTCCCACTTCTTACATAAAATTCCATTCACTCTGCCCATCAGTTGGCCATCAGGCTCAGCATCTGCTTTGACAGTCTATACTACAGAAGCTTTCAGAGGCCCTCTGTGGCAGGTTTCAAGGTTGTTTCCTGTTTTCTTCTGGCTTTCAGCGGCCCTCTGTAGCAGGTTCCGAGGTTGTTTCCTATTTTCGTTTTCTTCTGATGTCCATCCTCTTTGCCTTTCAGGATGGGGATTGAACATTTTAGTTAGGGTCCTCTCTTTTGCTTAGTTTGTTTAGATGTACAGCTTTTAGTGGGAAATGCAAATCAAAACAACCCTGAGATTTCACCTTACACCCATCAGAATGGCCAAGATGAAAATCTCAAGGGACAACACATGCTGGAGAGGTTGTGGAGAAAAGGTTCTCCACTGCTGGTGGGAATGTAAACTGGTACAACCACTCTGGAAATCAATCTGGCGCTTTCTCAGACAACTAGGAATAGCGCTTCCTCAAGATCCAGCCATACCACTCCTAGGCATATACCCAAAAGAAGCGCAAGTACACAAAAAGGACATTTGTTCAACCATGTTTGTAGCAGCTTTATTTGTAATAGCCAGAAGCTGGAAACAACCCAGATGCCCCTCAACTGAAGAATGGATGCAGAAACTGTGGTACATCTATACAATGGAGTATTACTCAGCAATGAAAAATAAGGAAATCATGAAATTTGCAGGTAAATGGTGGGACCTGGAAAGGATCAGCCTGAGTGAGTTGACCCAGAAGCAAAAAGACACTCACGGTATATACTCACTCATATAAACATACAATATCGAATAAACCCACTAAAAGGTCCTTCTTTTCTTAATGCACTCTTCCACAAGACTCCCTGCACTCCACCCAATGTTTACTTGTGGGTCTCTGCATCTCTTTTCAGGAGGTGCTGGGTGGAGCGACTAAGAGGATAGCTATGTAAGGCTTCTGTATGCAAGTATATCAGCGTTTCTTTAAGTGTCAGTGCCTACCTGTCTCTCATAGGGTAAGTCTCAGTTTGAGCCTGTCATTTGTTGGACATTACACCAATCTCTGCATCGTTTTTGTTCCTACACATCTTGTATGCAGGGTCAATTTTTGTAGAAATTTTTTTTTTGTGCTGGGTTGGTGTTTCTTACTCACTAGGAATCTTGTCTAGTTAGAGGCTGGCCTCTTCAGTCTCCATGACCCCTGTTACTAGGAACTTATATCCTCATATCCTCATATCCTCCCAGGAGGTTATCCTGTCATAGGTCTCCAGCTTGTCACAGAGAAGCCACCGCTCATGGTTTCTCTTCTCTTTGCAAGCCTTCTTATCCTCCTGTTCCTGCTCTCCCCAGGTATGATTACCAACCCTCATTACTCTCCATGCTCCCTTTTGTACCTGGATCCTTCTCCTTAACCACATCTGCTACCTATTCTCTTTCTCCTTCTTAATAAGATCTAAGCATCATCTTTTGGAACCTCCTTGTTACTTACATTCTTTGAGTCTGTGAATTGTATTATGGTCATCCTGTACAATATGATAAAATCCATTTAAATGTGAGTATATACCGTATGTGTGTTTCTGGGTCTGGGTTACCTAACTCAGAATTATCTTTTCTAGTTCCATCAATTTACCTTCAAATTTCATGATTTCCTTTTCTTTAATAACTAAGTAGTATTCCATTGTGTAAATGTACCCCAGTTTCTTATCCATTCTTCAATTGGGGGACATCTGGGCTGTTTCCATTTTTGGCTATTATGAATAAAGCCTCTATGAACATAGATGAGCAAATGTTCTTATTGTATGGTGGAGCATCACTTGGGTATATGCCCAGGAGTGGCATAATTGAGTATTGAAGAACAGGTATTGCCATTTTTTGAGAAAGTGTCAGATTGATTTCCAAAGTATTTGTTCAAGTTTGAACTCCACTAATAATGGAGGAGTGTTCCCCTTTCTCTACATCCTCGAAAGCATGTGTGCTCTCACTTGTGTTTTTGATCTTAGGCATTCTGATGGGTGTAAGATGGAAACTCAGCCTCATTTGACTTGCATTTCCCTGATGATTAAGGGCAGTGAACTGTTTTTAAGTGTTTCTCACCATTTTGATATTCCTCTGTAGAGAATTTTCTATTAAGCTCTGTACCCTGTATCTGTGATTCTTTTGCCTGCTCTTAGGACCCTTGTACTTGGTTGACTTCTCTAGTCTTGATATGAGAGTTCATGCTTAGTCTTACCATAATTTGTTATGCAGTGTTCTGTTGGTATTCCTGGGAAACCAGAAATTTACTGAAGGAAAAGGAGGATGAGTGGATCTGAGGCAGATGGGAAGTAGGGGAGGAGAATGGAAGTCATAAAGAAAGGGAAAATTAAGATCCAGTTGTAATGGATGGCCAAATAATAAAAAATTAAGAAATTGAAATACACATGTATACATAATCTCACCCCTGCCCAGATTATACACAACAATATATATAAATATACATATATATCTAGATATTAGATATTTTTAATATCTAACAAATTAGACTTCAAACAAAATCTCTTCATTAGAGATGGGAAGGATACTACATACTTATCAATGTACGAACACACCAAAATATCATTCCAATTTTTAAATTCTTTACCTGAAACACAAGCCCACCCCTCTGTAAAATAAATGCCATTATAGCTTAAAACACATCTTGACCTTTACACATTTGTAGTGGTAAATTTTAACACCCACTCTCACCAATAGATACATCATTGAAGCAAAAACTTATTGTGGATGTTTTGCTTTAAATTATGTAAAGATATAGTTGACATCCATAGAATGGAGTTTCCATTACAAACATTCTATAGGAATGGATTTGTACATAGATTTTATTTAATATGTCTTCATCATGAAATTCTTATTTTCTCAATCTACGGTGATTAAAAATTTTGCTCTGTATAGTAGTGTGGCCTGGCATCTCTTGTCTCATATTCTGTAGCATATCTGCTTAGTTTTTCATATTTTTTCCTCATACTGTATGCGTGATGCATATATTATTATCAGCAGAGGGAACATTTTCCCCACGGTCAAGTGTATTTGATGATCTGTATGGTTCTTGTCCCTTAACAAACATCTTCTTCTTTCAATTACAAAATCAAGTTCAACAAAAACTAAACAGAGAAAAGCTGTTTACTTTTTAATATCTAACAAATGAGACTGCAAACCAAATCTAATCATTAGAGATAGAAAGGATACTACATACTTATCAATGTATAAATCCTAACCCAGT